TGCTGTTGCATTCAAAAGTGGAGGCAGATGATCACAAACTCGCAACGTCAGGGTTTAAATGAACTAAATGATAGGAGAAGACCTCCTTACATAACCAAAAAGAAGTCTGACACTTCCATTGGAAGATCAAGTTATGACATTTTGATGAAATATTACAAGGTGCAAACAAAAAAATTGGATGAATGCATTGCTCAAAATCTGATGGAGTCAGAAAATAAATATGGTGCATTTTCATTTCATTCCAACTTTAAAGGAATAGTTCACCCAAAAATTAATTTTGCTGAAAATATACTCACCCTCAGGCCATCCAATATGAACATGGGTTTATTTCTTCATAGAAACAGATTTGGAGAAATGTAGCATTACATCACTTGCTCAGCAATGGAAAGCTGATAAAAACATCACGATAATCCACAAATAATCCACACGACCATCAATTAATGTCTCATGAAGTGAAAAGCAGCGAGTTTGTAAGAAACAAATCCATCAATGAGGAGTTTTAACTTTAATCCATCACTTCTGACCAAAATATGAGTCCATAATTCATAAAAACACTTCCACATCCAGTGAAAAACTCCATCCCCTGTTGTCCTCTCACATCAAAATGAACAGTTTTGGACTGTTTTTGCTTGTAAATTGTGCCTGATCTGTGCATATTTCTAAAGTCCATCCCCTGTTGTCCTCTCACATCAAAATCCACAAACATATTTGTTTAGAACAGTTTTGGACTGTTTTTGCTTGTAAATTGTGCCTGATCTGTGCATATTTCTCTCCTGATTCAGACTTTTTGACTGGAGAAAGCAATATTATGGATCGAGGAGGGCTCATATTTTAGCATGAAGCAATGGTTTAAAGTTAAAATACCTTAAAGGGTTAGTTCATCCAAAAATGAAAATTAGGCTGTGTTTTACTCACTCCCCAGAGGCATCCTAGGTGTATATGACTTTCTCCGGGGCAATCTAGGTTTTAATTGACTTCTTCCTTCCGGCGAAACCAATCGGAGTTATATAAAAAACTGTCCTGGCTATTCCAAGCTCTATCATTGCAGTCAGCGGGTGTTGCAGTTGAACAGTCCACAAGTTGTCAAATAAAGCGTGGGCATCCATAATAAAAAGTGTTTCACACGGCTCCGGGGGGGAATCGATGCGAATCGATGCGTTTTTGTTAGAAAAATATCCATATTCAAAAC